ATATATTATATACAGGCCGTCGTACGTTCCCCGTTTAACGGGGATAGGGATTAAGTTTTCATTTCAGAAATGAAAGGGAGCTACGCGGTGAACGACACGTGTAAATACACTAAGAAGTACGAAATCATTTAAACTTGCTGTTCATTTCTACGGCGACATGGCACAATCTGATTAGACCCGCGGCGAGGGATATTTCTCCGCGTTTCAATTCGCTGGGAAAGTAGAATTCGAATCGTCAAATTGATTCTTTCGTTCGTTCGTTCGTTATTATTGCTTGCAATGAACGATATGCTTTTGCATTTTCATTTCGTTTGCGAAACTCTTGCGTTTCTTCTCCAAAAAGAAAATCCATCTCCGTTGCGTTTCTTCAAGATGGACAGAGACATTTGGCGACAAGCAGGGCGAAAACATTGAAAGGAAAAAAGAGAGAGATTTAAATCGAAACTTTGTATTCTTATCCGGGCGGCGCGAGCACGGGCAGCTCGGTCGGGCAAACATGTCGAATTGCCTACTTCCGGGATACGAATGCCGGCTGTAACCGAGTCGATGAGGTCCCCAAGGGCACAAAGGGCCATTCGATGAAAGGAAAACTCGAGGCCACGTTCTCGTTCTTTAAACCGCGACTTTCGACTTGGACAACTGGCACAAATCCAGCGGAATTGCATTGCCACCATCGGAATCGGCTACGGAAGGTCCTAGATTTACACGCCTAGCGGTGCAACGACCATAAATAAACCAACCGAACAACAAAAATTGCGTTCGCAACGATATGGACGAAATCTTGACATCTTCGCCTATCTTCAGAAGGGGCAAGGGACAGTTTTCAATTGAATGAAACAAATAACTCCGACTCGATGATGAAAGAGAATACGCCAAGAAGGGAAGAAACAAAAGCACACGCTCACCTGATATCCGAAAGTTGGTGTAATCGCTCGTTCGCGACGATGAAAGACAGGGGAAGATGTTCCCTTAATGGGCGCGTTTCAACGTTAAATGGCGTTGCTCGTGGAAAGCGGTGTTTTCCATTTAAAACGCGCTCGAATAGGACGAACGGGGGAAGGAGGGGACACAGAGAGGGTGTTTCGAGAAATCGTAATAAAGAAATTCTTTCCCGGCTGTTGCAGCTCTTCTTTTTATCTGAAAAACTTCTTCAGGGAAGCGTCTTACGACGACGAGAGAACGTAGACACCAGCGAAACAGGAAAGACTTTTAAGCGGCTCGAGACGATCACAATGACACCACCAGACGACGAATTCGCGTGTCTTTGTTCTTCGTGGAAATATTGGGAAGTCCCGCGTTTAATTGACACAATCATCGATTCAAATCTATCGTAATTAACATTGGCAGGCTCAGTTTCAGTATCGAATCTTTCTATTTATCTCTCACCAGTGACATTTCAGAAATTTCTCGAGTTTTCTAGCGAGATTTTGCATTGTTTATTTAACATTGCCGCGGAGAGAATTTTTTAACCAATAGAATGGATAATCAGACAGGGATGTTGTGCACCTCGTCCTTCATATTCCCCATATGCTATGCCGTTTGATTACCATCTATTCCCTTCATTTAAAAAACTGACGCGACAACATCCCGGATGTTTTGGAAGCAGAGGAAAGTAACAAATCAGACTGGTAATATAATTCAATAACGTGATGTGAAATATTGTACATACGTTGTTCATTAACAAAACGAGAGAAACGTTTCGGACAACCTAATAAACACGGAATCTTTTTACACGAATCATAGATGTGAAAAGTTTCTTCGAACTTTTGGAGAACTGCAGGATTCAAGTAGAAAAAGAAATAACGACGAAGTTAAATATTAATCTTAAACTTGAGACAGTGTATATTAATTGAAAGAAAAAGAAGAAATTAGAAATGTCGATTTCAAATTTAGAAATATTTCAAAACCCAATGCCACGCGCATCTTGCAGATGTTTACAGATTTCGTTACGGTGGTATTTCAGTTTCTAACGTTGTTTCTAACGTAAGGCGGCCAGAACACCGACGCAAATTTATCTGGTTGTATTTAAAGATACTTTGACGCACATCGTAGTACCGTGTCTTTTAAATTCGTCTCTGGTGGGCGAAGAACGTGCCCGTGGACACTAAAACCGAATTGGTCTCGGCCATGTCCACATCTGGTACGTTAACGTCTTTACTTTCTGTCTTCTTTCCTTCTCGTTCGCGTGAAATCGCTCACTTTCGTTCCTCTTCAGGAGATTTTCTAAGTGTGTCATTGCGACGTAACGTAACAGGGAAAGATAAAGCAACCTCTTCGACGTTCGTTTTATCTCGTTAATATTCAAACGACGTTCCAACGCGTCTGTTCGTTTGTTCGAAATATGAAAAAAAAAAAAGAAAAAAAATGTAAAACATACAAAAATGCGTAAGGGAAGTATTTAAACTAAGTGCAAAGTAAAATACGAGTCTCTGATTGGGACCGATTTCTCGAATTGCATTCGGAAAAAAAAAATACGAACAGCCTAGTAACAAGTAAAAAAGGAGATTGTTCCATAAATCTCTTGGCAATAGCCGAGCAACGTAAAATTCTCTATTCTCAGGCTGAATGTACTGTAGCCTCGATGACCTTAATCGCGAATAGTGGCAAAACAGTGATTATTCCGAGATGGAGAACGCTGCTTGCATCGTCTCGTATTTTTATTAACGACCGCGATGCTTTCGCGTCGTGTTGTTCAACATAAATTCTGTCCCTCCTTTCCTCTTTCCTCTTTCGTTGTTTCTCACAAATGAAAATCTCCTTTGCGCGTTCGATATTATTATCACAAATCAGAGGCGTTAAACGTAACGGAGTTTCTCACTTCACTAATTTCAATTTGTCATTTAAGCTTATCATAAGTTTATCAACCAACGTCGTACACGCTCGAATCGATCAAGAACTTTGACCATTTGAAACGAGTGAAACGCGTTCGTTCTGATAGGATGCAAGCGTGCAAATCTGCATCTCATTCTTTATAGACAATCATCTGTTCAGAAGGAGAAAGCGTATTATTCGCTGACGCTTTTAACCTCAAAGTACATTTCTGTCCAATACCGATGCTCAACAGGATCATAAAAGAGTCAATGCAACATTCATCAACAGAATGATCAGTTTACTTTCCTTCATCAATGATATTTGACCGATTTATATTTCACGTGTCCGTGTGTATCGCAATATTCAAATCTCGATATTAATATTAACTAATTACAATGAAATATCAGAATACGTAATATCATATGGAGAATTCATAAACGTTCGATGCTACGAAAATATCCTTTTTTTTTTTTTTAACAAACTCATTCAACAGAACAGTTTAATCATTATTGAATGGTGACACAATTGTCAGAAGACTATTGGAAATATTATTATTAAAGCATTGCTGTATAAATTATTAGAAATGATTACGACTGTTTTAATAACAAAAAGATATTTGCACGTTTCACTTACACTAATTGACCTCTGAACCTTCCGTAAATATAAGATTCTTTATAATTCCACTCACGTGATATTTCGCCGTAGTTTTGGCTTCAAATTTTACGTTCGTCGACGTAACGAAACAAATTGTCATCGATCGACTACCAACGTGAGAAATATTTTTCAAACGGTGTTAATGTTACGTAAAGTTCTGGCGTACGACCGACAGTTCGTTAGCATTGCCATTTCTTGGCACAATGTTATCGAACGATAACGGTCAATCCACGTTGCAAAGTGGGCGCGTGCGGGTCTCTCTCTCTCCGGTGAAAGCTCGCGAACGCAATGGCCCGCGCGCGCGTGCCGGCGACCCAACGCGACGACAGATTTACAATTAAAGAAAGTTCACCACGATGGCATGCGCTCTGTCTCCGCTACGATTTCCCTTTTCCGTGACACCGGATCAAGTTCGCACGTTCCCAAATTTGATCGAACAATTTACTCCAAAATTTTCTCGAAAGAATCACCACGACACGATTCGCGTGTGCTTCCGGTTATTTTGATCGTTCAAAATTTCTCAGTGGGTAATTACGAGCGAATGATTTCGACGATTCCCGGTGATTTGTGTCAATCGCGCCTATAACGGAGCACACCTGAACCGTAGGAATGATCGTTCCAAGTGGAGAAAGATATGCTTACTCTCGTCCTTGTCGTTGCTTCTGTTCTCTTTTTCACGGTTCGCTGCGAGATCGTTCATTGACAGTGTTGAACGATCACGGGCGGAAAGTAGGCCTGAATTCGATCGGTGAAAACTAATCGGAGTTGATAATTGGCTCGCGGGACGCGAAACTATCGAAACTTGACCGTGGCTGCAACGATAGCGATTATCGTTTCGTTCGATTACCCGTTAACATTTACGGCAACCGACCGAGCGTGTTGCAACTGCTCATTTACACGAGATGATATAAATCCATTGGAAATTCAGTTTGAAATATTTGGAGTGTACACTATCAAAAATGTTGAACCTCGCTTTGCGAGTTCTTTCTGCATTTTACATTAAAATGGATGGCGTGTGTACTGTTTGCCTTACGCACCGATGAAACAGGATTTGATCAATCTTTCCAGTCCCTTCAAATATATTTCATATCCACGTACGTGATTATAGTCAGCACACACAATAACAATGTTCAATTAAAATAAATTATCGCGTAATGTTTCGAGCGCTAGTCAAAGAATGCCATTTGAGTGCTGCTAACTGTAAAAATGAATAAAACTGAGGCACGATGGCACTTGTTTTGATCCCTTTTGTTTACAGTTCTTGGAAGAATATTTTCTAACAGCGACACGAATATTATTTGGACTAAATTATCATAAAAGATGACGAAAATATGATTTGTTAAGAAAGGACGTTTGCTAATGTATACATATGTATTCGAAAATTAGTAACAATGTGCAGAGCCAAAGGTCAATGGCGTTCGTTTGTTTATTATGGTGAGTACTCCGATAAGTGTATCTGTACGTATGTCAAACAGCACACACGGCTCCCAGGATAGATTCTTAACTCGAAAAATTCAAATTCTTTTTGCCTGTACCTGTGTTACAGCAGGAGTTTTGTCGTTCTTCGAGTAATCCGCGTACAATGGAATATTCAGTAAAACGTACAACACATTTTAACACACGCCGGAACACACTGTGCGCAACTAAGAGTCAACGAATGCACCACGAGCAGACTGACAGTTACCACGGGTTGTTCATTATTAGAAAATCTGCCTTGCAGGCTGCTCTTGCGCAGCCGGCGCAACACTACCGACTTCCTCCCCTCTACGAAACGACGCCATTTGTACCAACTTTCCTTCCCTATATATTCGTGTTGTTCATAACCGTATCGAAAAAATACGGAACCCGGAGTTTACATGTAAAATTCAATACATATTCATAAACATACAAAAGTTACATGTACGTTAAAACTTTGATACGAGCATCGAATTACGAAACTTGATAATAAATATTGATCAAAAATTTCGTGCATATTTGACTTTGCAACAAAAATTGTTGTTGATACATTTCAATTCTCTCTTTTTCCCTCCTTCGTTATATAAAATAATTCACATGGTTAGAAAATGTAAGATTCGTATGAAAAAGCAGTATTAATTAAATTTGGTAACTTTGCAAGTGTACGATCGTAGACTTCGTAAGTGTGTAAATATTTTCGCGTTTGAAAGGCAAGAAAATTTGCCCAGAATTTGTAAAAAACGCTGTTAGCAATTACAAGATGTGGAATTTGCAATGTGGCAATTCCGTCTCTAGAAAGTGAGTAGTCTGTGGAAACAGACAACCTCACGGAGGTTGGCTGAATTTTCGCAAAGTGAATTTTACTTGAATATTAGGTATTATTTTCTTCGCTTTAGCTTTGGGTGATGAAAAATTTGTATTGTAGTTGAATCGTATATTTTAAAGTGGCTTCGTTTCCAGTACATTATTTGGTGTTACTTGCTATTCTTTAGAAAAATATACAGCGCCTCATAAAAATAAGATATCATGGCGGTACCTACTACCGGTGTAGGTAAGTATTTTAAGTCTGTTTTACAGACCAGAGATGCGAACAAGTAGGTCTTGTACCTTTTCAAAATTAAAGAGTTAGAGTTAAAAAATGGTATATATAAAATATGTTTGTGAAAATTGTATCCGTCAAATTTTGATGATGTACAAGAGCAGACGTATAATGTTAATAAGTTATCACGCACAGTAAACGTGTATAAAACTAATCAATGATTTGTCAAGGTTTCGTAAATATCATTACTATTTTGTTTTTTTTTTTCCACATATATAAAATTCTGTACATTCGAGAGAAGATTACGAAAATATGAATACAAGAAGCAGGTTACACCATGTCTAAAATCACAGGGTCATAACCTGTACTTATTTTACTGGTTTTAATTAACAACATTTTTATTTGTAGTTTTGCAAAGAATAACTTTGATTTTATATTTGTAGTTGTGCCTCGAAACTTTCGTTTATTAGAGGAATTAGAACAAGGTCAAAAAGGTGTAGGTGATGGTACAATCAGTTGGGGCTTGGAAAATGATGATGACATGACTCTTACGCATTGGACTGGAATGATAATTGGACCACCTAGAGTAATTTTTCCTAAATTTTTAATTTCACTTGGATACATTAATTTCAGTTCATATTATTTTAGTTATTTATAAAATATTTTTTTTGTCATCATGGCTCTTTCTATGAATTTACATTACATAAATATAAAACAGAGTTAACTACACTAACACGGAGATAACATTGATAAAACTGACAATTGTTGTTATTAGTAGCAGGAAAATATTTTAATATTATTAATCAAATATGTTATTTATATATTACATACCATTTTTTAGACACCATATGAAAATAGGATGTATAGTTTAAAAATTGATTGTGGTCAAAGATATCCAGATGATGCTCCCAATGTAAGATTTTTAAGCAGGATCAACATGAATTGTATCAACAGTACTACCGGTGCAGTAAGTATCTTTAATTTTCTCAATCTGAATGATTTAAAAATATTGTATTTAATTTAAAATTTTATAGGTTGATAATCGCAGTGTACCAGTACTTGCAAAGTGGCAACGAGAATATACAATTAAGACAGTTCTTCAAGAACTTCGCCGTTTAATGACATTGAAAGAAAATATGAAATTGTCCCAGCCTCCAGAGGGTAGCACTTTTTAGCCTAACCATATGTAAACATAACACCTCTTCCTTTCTGCGGTAGCATGGGGCGAGATTCAATGAAGGTACCAAATAATATTAAATGGGTACCGAGTAAAGACATATATTAAGAAGTAACACCTGTATAAAAAGAAAACGGAGGAGATAATGACTATAAAAGTTGATTCAGTGTTTTCAATTTACTAAAGTATTTACTTACAAAACTTATAACTCATTTGTTATTACTTATTTCTTAAATTTAAAACATTTCATACATATATAAATATGTATACATGTTATGTATATGTGAAATATATATACATATATTTATATATATACATATATATATATATATGTAAATTTACTGTTTTAATTTTAATATTTTATTTTAAAACCATGCCCACACATTTAATTTAAGAAAATGCTGTTTCAGCTTTTTAAGTAAATACAATCTGAAACAAAAGTCATATTTTGATTCTTAAGCTGGAAACACAGACTGTAATAAAAAATAATAATCATTAAGAATAACTTATGCCTTCAAAGTTTTTTAAATGAAACAAAATTGCCTGAATGACATTTTAGTTTGAGCATAAGTGCCATTTCATGATGGAGGTGTCTCAGTAATTACTATTGTAGACAATTCTAAATTTTAATAATTTATACTTCTGTGTGCTCATTTTTACCAAGCCTTACTTTACTTTTTCTCTGTTGTTATTAAGATTTTCGCAAATAGCAGGTTGTTGAGATCAACATTTAATATGTAATAACGTGCCTTTTTGTGCAAGCAGCATAAAAGTGAGCATATATTGAGCGTGTTTGGTTGAGACATCATCCAAGAACGGCCTCTTATTCTATATTAAAAAGAAAAAGATATTTCTTAAATAAATTATGTTACAATTGAAAGTAATGATTTGATGTGTAATAACATGTGGTTAATGGTATAGTGTTTTGCATCATTGGATACATCAATGTATGAAGCATTAGATTAAAAATGCTTATCATACTTTTCATTCCACTACTTATATATTAGAGATATATTTTAAGTCCTTTTTTGGTCATTATAGTGCGGATATAGTACCCATATATTGTTTACTCTTTGATCAAAGCTTCATAATTGATGTATTAATAAAATCATACTTAATTTTTAATAAATATCCAAAGTACCATAAGTAGATTTTCAACCATTAGGGAATCAAGTTTGAATGCTAGTGTAATTCTATCATGAATTGCTACGAACTATACCGTTCCCATAAAGTTGTATACAGAACGGAAAAGGGTTTTCCATAATTATGTTACATTTTAAAAAAAGAGAGAGCGAGCGAGCGAACGAGAGAGAGAGAAAGAGAGAGATAGAAATATAATCATAAATTATTTCAAACATAATATAATTTTTTTGAAATTTTATTATCCAAATTGTAAAGATGTCGATCCTTACTTTTAAAGTAAATCCAAACCAAAGTACGAGATTTTAACACAAGTTTACATTTATCGTGTAATATTATGAAATTCTCAACTACCTGAAACATTATACATACCTCTTCATCAGCTTTGCATTTCAGTATTACACTATAAATAATGTAATAGTGTAATCCAATTCATACTAATAAAAATATTAAATAATTACTCCATGTCGATGAAGTAAAGCTTAAAAAAAAAATAAACAAATTTCTTTAGAAATTATTTTCAAATCATTCTTTTTAATTCCTTATGATGTTCATATCTAGGGTCTTTTTCTTTTTTTGTTTAGGCAATGAATATGTAATTGAATAAGTTTAACAATTTATTTAAATCTGACGATGACATTAATTGTAGTAATATGTACAAGATGATCGACGTATTAAATAAACGTCTATCAAATGCGTGCAATTATGTTCTTGCAACATTCAAACAAAGTATAAAACTACATTCCAATATTGGAATCTAACATCGTCGGATCATTTTTATTAAGCTAATGTAGCTTTATGTATAAGGTATTACTGTCGTTTATATTTCGGAGTGAAAAGTAATTTAGTATTTTTCACAGTTGTCCATTTTACTCTCTTCCAATATATGATTAGCGGTAACGATATCAGACCAAAACCTATTACCTGCAGAAGAATAATAATTATATAATTTTTGGATTAATAACTGTATATATTTCAAGAAATGTATATTAATACAAAGTATTACCTTGATAGTCATTTTCTTTCTTTCATCAAATTCAGCATTCGATGCCCACATAAGAAATTCAACTACATCTTTTGCTACTTGAGAAGCAGTTGCAGGTGTGCCATCTGCATACTCTATGACTTCATTATAGATAATCTAAAATATTATATAATTAATTTATCAACCAATTTTATGTAAGTATCATAAATAATTATATATGGCAACTTACTTGTGGCATACCAAGAGCTCCATTAACGAAGTAAGGATTAAAATATTGACCTTCCCTTAAAGTAATACCAGCTGGTGGATCACAGTATCCAGTTAATAATGAAAATACATAATTCTGGAATATAAAAGATATAGTATATGTTTACTTTATTTTTAGAATATTAATAATATTTACTTCAAACAAAATAAGAATTAAGAAAATTTCATTTAATCAATTTACCTCTCCATTTTCACTTGCATTAATAATGTATGTTAAATCTGGTGGATAGGCACCATTATTTGCTGCTCTAGCAGCTTCTTCATTTGGATATGGAGCTGGTATAGTATCAAATAATTTACCAGGACGCATATAATAAGCTCCTGTATCATCAGGACCATCTTGAACCTAGTAAATATTTTCCACAATATATATTTATTAATATAATACAACTATTTTATTAACTTTTACTTAATACTATTTATATTTTTATATATTTAATACTATTTTAATTATCTAGACTCCAAAAAGTATTTACCTGATATTCTGCTGCAATAGCTTTTACTTCTTCTTCAGTATGTGTAACACCCACAAGATGACGAAAAGCTAAAAAGTCCAAACTATGACAAGCTGAACATACATTTTTGTATACTTCCCAACCTCGTCGAAGACTAAATAAAAAATGATGATAAATATACATTTAGGATTTATTTATTACTTTTCATGATGTTCTCACCTCCTATGATCCAATGAACTAAATATTCCATAGAAACCCCATTTATAGTTTGGTGGATGTGCTACTTGATCAGAAGCTTTCACAGATTGATCCAAAGCATAAATTAATGCACTAATACCTCCAGCTGTTACTCCTAAACATGCTAATAACTGCAATTATTTTATTTGTATTAGTACTTTAACAATATTTTATATATTATATATGTATACAAGGTGTGTATTGTGATATTTATATGATTTATAATATCTAAAACTTACTACACATGTGTATGTATTCACACATTTAATAAATTTAGATTTTATTGATTATATATTAGGAACAAGGATAGGAAGGCATCTTCAATTGATTATAGAAATACACATACCACTTTTCTACCTTTAGACCATTGGTTTGTAGTTGAAAAATTATGTACCTGCTGAATTAAAATTCAAGTATCAAATAGAGTTTTCTACCTGTAATATAATAGTTTCTATTTTAAACTTAGTCAGAATCAAATTTATAACATATTTAACAGCAGTAGGCATTGATAAACATTTTATATTAATTTTTCTATTACCATTTTAAATTTATTACAAAGGAAATACAAATTTTTTAAATAATTTAACATTACAAGCATTTTAAGTTATAAATTTGATTTTTTAAGGCTACCCACATAATTTTCAGATATGTTTGGCCATAGCAGCATCACAATTTTCTATGCTGATAACTATTACATAACATCAAATAAAATGTCTTCAAAATCTTGTTGAATTTATTATCCTGTTATAAAATACGCTTGATTAGAATTAGAAGATTAACAGACAATGCAAAATTAAAATATTTTCGAAGAAAAATGTCATAGCAGCCGACAAGTTGCACAGTTCGCCAAGACATCCGTATTAGTTTCAATACATTAATATTACAAGATTGACGTGTAAATAAAAAATCATATTTTTCGAATAGAGAAATTAATGTATCTAAATATAATTGATGCTTTTAAATTACATACCTGATTGAATAAAGTTCCATAATTCGATTTCAAAAGACCGAATTTACAAACTCGACCCAATGAAGCCGCCATGTTGGCCAGAGGTACAATGTGCAAAGATTTTTAATCAATTAAATATCTGTACAATAAATATATACGTGCTAGTAAACAATAAATTCTTATATTAATTAAATTTTTCTGTTGATACATATAATTCTTGCGTGCATTCACAAATCTTTATAAGAAAAAAGGAAACATAAATTCAAAAGATGAAGGTACTTACACAACTTTTTAATATCTAAAGTGACTTTAATCAAGGATACCAATATAATAATATCAACTTTTGAACGATTCAATTTATTCACAGATATTTGCTACTATTTTGTATATTTTTATTTGTACAAACATAAATATCCATAACATAGCTTTTTCTTAGATTTCGAGATAACAATGTTTAAATTATACACTCGAGTTATACAAAACACACTTCAAACGTAAATACACTTCAAGCGTAAAATACTACTTTATTAAAAAATATTATGTTATGAAATATTCTTTTTTTCGTCATACATCGTTGTTTTTAATATTTTATCTATTTTTCAACTTGGTTTTATTTGAAATTTGTAAACCATTTCTAAATACATAGGGGAGGGGGGTGTGGCGCATGCGCAATTTCTGTTGGTAGCCTTGGCAGTTTGCTGTCGACCATTAGTGTCAGCTGGTGGTTTCGTCAGATGGTATCGTGAATCCTATAATATCACATCGATCATCGTGTAGAAGAAGGAGATTCAAGATGAGCGGAGGAATGCCAGAATTGGGCTCGAAGATTAGTTTAATATCGAAAGCAGATATTCGCTATGAGGGCCGACTTTTTACCGTTGATCCTCAAGAATGTACCATTGCTCTAGCTAATGGTGAGTCTCAAATCAAGATGGATACCGAAATCAGTTTTGCCGCTGTTTCATTTCCCGGTTATTTTATTTTAATATGTATTGTTCTTGATACTTAATTGCCGTTCCATTTTTCCTTCTTACGTCTTGTTTAAGTACTATTTACGAAAATTTGATGATTTCTATATATTTATTGTATTTGAAAATGCTTCTGAAACAGTCGGTATTTGATTCATCCGGTAAAGCTTTGATACAAAACAACCGGGGTCACTCGTCATTTATAACGGGTGTTTTGTACTTTATTCGTAATTTGAATATACGCATTGAAATTTGTTCGATAATTTAATATATTTATAGTCGTAATAAGTATATTAAATCATTATGCAGTACTTTCCAATTTATAGCAAATTATACTTAAGTATAAAAAAATAGAGAAAACAAATATAGATATAGTAATATTATCCAAATGAATAATTATACATTTTATTTTCTATTTCAGATTAATAAAACATAATGAAATTTCCTGAAAAGGTCTTACATAATAAGCAAATATTTAATTTTGTAACATTTTTATGCTTAATATTACTATGTCAGATTTCTTCATATAGTTTTAAATGAAAGTAAACCAGTTAGAATTTAAAGCATATTGAATTTGAAATCTGTTTAATTAAAATTTAATATTTTCAATGATAATATAAATGATATTGTGTTTGTGTAAAATTAGGTTGTTTGAAAGCCGTTACCTGAATCTATCATTGTATGGAATGTTTATGTTCCGTATTTGCTCTGTTTATATCTTACGTCCTTTCTTTTTTCTGTCATATTACAGAGTTGTTCTAATAAATCGTTAAATTTAAATTGTATAATACAGATTCTGATGTATTTTATATTGCTGAATCTTTATTTTTATTTATATAATTATATCAAATAATGCATAAACTTTATTTTATATGTAATTTTAAAATTGCATTTGTATGAATCACGAAGTTATGATTCCTATCTTTTAATTAATTAATATTGCAAATATGATAAGTAAATATCTCAGTCTATCCATTTTATTTTTTTCATCTTATAGTACGTTCTTTTGGTACTGAAGATAGAGAAACTCAACTTCCAGTGGCACCGCAAAATCAAGTGTATGAATACATTTTATTCCGTGGTTCAGATATTAAAGATATTAGAGTTGTCAATAATGTCAGCTCTATTCCAAATGATCCAGCCATTGTACAGGTAGTTATAATTAATATATTTTATATTATAATATAATATAATATAATATAATATAATATAATATAATATAATCGACCAAGCAAGTTAGTATTATCTATAATAATGATTGCTAAAAATGATTTTGGTTATTTATAGATGACGGTACAACCGTCTATGAGCCAGCAATCATACCAGCCACAACCTAGTTATGCTCATCCAATGATGGGCCCAATGGGTGGACAATATGGAGCACCCTATGGCATGACAATGGGCACTATGGGACCTGTAATGGGAATGCCAACTTCTGCTAGAGATCCTCGTGGACCAATGAATAAACAGTCAAGTGAGTTGAGCTTGGGCTCTGCTGAACCCAATGCCATCTCTATCCCAAACTCACTACCGACGGCCAATGTCGACCCATTACCAAAAGACCAATCTCTGGAAGATGGTAAACTGTTTTTGCTATGAACTATCCCTTGCCAATGGCATGCTTGCTGCTTCTCTGGTAATGCTTGCTAACTTCACTTGGGATATTAAAATTTCTTTTTCTATTAATCATAGAATGTATAAAATGCACTGACAAAATACTTGAAAACAGCTTGCTCCTGTTTATTTTAACCGGTTATTAATTATTGCTTGTGGTGTGACATGTATTTTTGACTTAATTTGCATTTGAACTTTAGGGACAAATATTAATTTATTTGAGCGCTTTTGAGCTTTTGAGCTTATTTATTCACATCTTTGTACATATCTAGAAATGTATGCATAGTATGTGAGTTTTACTCAAAATCATTAACGTTATTTTAATGTATTTTTTGCCCATATTATAATATTGATATCTACTTCCTTGTATTATTGCTAATTTTTAAATTTATTTATTTAAGCAATAACAATAAATGATTCAATGTTATTTACATTATTATTTAACCCTTAGATAGTGGATGTTTTAATAGCAACGCGATAGGTGAATGCAGGATCAGTTTGATCTATAGCAAAGATTTTATTTTTTGCAGTATTGAAAATAAGATTCATATGTATACATGTACATATGTATACAAGTACGAGTATTGTCAGCAATACACAACATTATATCATAGACACATTCGTTAAAGTAATAAGAATTGAATTTTGTATGTCACAGTTTTAGTTAACTTGAAGAAAAGGCAATGCTTTAATGTTTTCATATCATTTGTAATATTTACAGATAGATTAAAGTTGTTCAGTTAACATTATCCTGCATTTGCCGACTGAGGGTTAATGTCTGCTATTTTTTTTTTAAGTTAAATGTATATTTAATCTTATATCATCAATAAATATTATGTAATGTAATATTTATTATATATAAGAATATATATATAATGATATGTCCTGTAGATAACGATACAATAGTATATTCCTTTCAATATTTGTATTCATTTTTCAATATATTTGTTACTTATAAGACATAACTATGCATATTTGGTTATCTTTATATTCTACTAAAGGATTATGCATGATAATTTTTTTATTGCATTTGTAATTTATAATTTTTCCTTAAGAGTATGCATTTAAATCTCATTGAAATAGTGTTATAAGCATTATGCACTAGCAAGTAACATAATAGCAAGAACAGTTGAAATTTCAGGTAGAAATCATGTTTTGAGATTAGTTTTCTATGCGATGTAGTATTTTTGCAATCATACTTTGGTTAGAGCTAGAATTGAAAATTTAATTCCTTTTTTTCAATACTCCATATATTATATCAGATATTTAAATAAATATTTGACCTTGGAATTATTATCACTGGTATTATTTATAGTTTAGAATATAATATGCATGTTTGTTTACTTTATTTACACAGGTGTATTAGATCTTATTAGTGGAGGTTCACGATCAACAACTCCAACTTCTTCTTTATTGACTCGAAAAAGTCCAACTATGGATCAGGGTATCCAAGTAGGCCATCAGCAGCAACAGCAACAACAGGGTGGAAATGTTGGCAAACTTGGTGAAAAAACAAATATGCGAACTATTCAACCTGCTCGCCGCGATCATGACAGGTAATAAATATTACAACATATATATATATATATATATATATATATATATTTAAGAACTAATGTTTGTATACTTTTATTTACAGCCACAGTGGTAATAAAGCAGGAGGCGCTGTATCGCAGTATAATGAAGGAAAACGTGATACAATGAAGCAAGATCAATTACAAGGACAAGGTACGCATGCTCAAGGTAATCGAGGAAATCGTGGTGGATGGATGAATCGTGGGAATATGCGTGGCAGAGGAAGAGGTCGCGGTGGTTTTAGAAATCAACCTGGTAATGCTGGTGCCAAACCCAAAAATACGCTGAAATTCGATAATGATTATGACTTCGAACAAGCTAATACTGAGTTTGAAGAATTGAGGTACGCATTACATACATACATATATAGCATGGTACTGCCGGATTCGTTTCAAGTATATTTGAAATGATGTATGTGGATACCATGCAAAATCAATGTTATGCGTCTTTAAAGCAACATATTTTTAAAACATTGTAATATGTTTCGCTTACGCCCGCACCAACACATATTATTTATGACACAAATTTATTTACTTAAAAGATACTTGAAAGTGGATTGAAATTGGCTTTTTATACGATATATTTTAGATCTCAGTTAGCAAAAACGAAAATTGATGCTGGTGCTGATAACGAAAAGAAAGATGATAGTGGTAATGAAACAGGAGCCGGTGAAGGTGAACCCGAGGAAGAACCCGAGATAGTTCATTATGACAAGTCAAAATCTTTCTTCGATAACATTAGCTGTGAAGCTGTTGAGAGAAGTAAAGGGTAAGTCGACAAATGTACAAAATAGCTTTATCATTAAAATAGTTTTATTATTGAAATACATGCGAAAAATTTGATGATTTGGCGAATAATTTTTTTTCCTTTTTTTTGTTATAGACGGTTCCAACGTACGGACTGGAGGACAGAGCGGAAACTGAACTCTGAAACATTTGGTGTAGCGTCAACGAGACGCGGTAGTTTTCGTGGACGCGGTTACTATAATCGTGGAATGGGAGGCATGTATCGAGGCAGTGGTGCAGGTGGTTCTGGTTTCCGTGGTGGTTATAGAGGTTCCAGAGGTGGAAATCGTAAACCTGCTAATCAGCAGCAACAGAATAATCCTGGCAGTCAAAATCGCACGACCAACGAACAATCTGCTACTCAATCGCAGCAGAATAGTCGCGTTGTATCTTTTTGAATGAACAACGCACTATTATATATATATATATACATATATATATATACATATATATGTATATATATATAAGTATTCACTGTAGATTAAGATTTTTACGATATGTGCTCTGCCCTTATGGACTGATTTGAATTCGAGTTTAAGAAGGATTCAATGATTTAAAGGAACAAAATAAAAGAAAAGAAGTTCTTTGATAGAACTGTGAGTTTTTTGTATCGTCATGCAGAAACGTAGGAAACAAAACAGTGCTTTGCAGGTCCTGCGTTTAGAATTTCTGGACAAATAATGAATCTTATTGTTATAAGTAGTTAATTTTCGAAAACTCGATATTCAAAACCATCATGTCCTACGAATTAAGGAAACGTCGAATGCTTCTGAATGTAATTAAGTACAATACATGATAGAATATTTACAAAGAAACATACATGAAACAAGAAGTTTTAAATTTTCAGTTAATTTTTTTTTTTGAACGCTATTAATTCATTCGACAAGCATGCAACTACGATTAAATGAACAATAAGAATCTCAAGGAAATTTTTGTAATACAATAAAAAAAAAAAAAAAAAAAAAAAAAAGAAAGAATAA